ATATATATATATATATATTTGTCTGTACTTGTACCAAAGCCTGCCTTTAACTTAATTATATATAGAGAGAGAATAGAATATATATAATAATTATAGCTGTATATGTGTGTATGTTAGCTGTATAATTGGCTTATTTATAGCTGTATAATATAGCATCTTAATAACTAGAATAAGTCCCCTACTTTGTTCTTTTCAAGATTACTTTGATTATTTTTGGCCCTATGCATTTCCTTAGAACTTTTATAATCAGTTTGAAATTACCCCTGCCCCCTCCACCCAAAATAATATGCTAGAATTTTAGTCGGAATTCCTTTGTTGAGGAGAATGAACATCTTTACTATATTGAATTTTCCAGTCCCTGAGAATGCTATTTCTATTTATTTGGTTGTTAATTTCTCTCAATAATGTTTTATAGCTTTCTGTGTAAAGATCTTATACATCTTTTTTTTAGATTTATTCTTAGGTATTTAGGGAGTTTTTTGATGTTGTCATAAATGATACTTTTTTATTTTTATTTTTAATGTTTATTTATTTTTAATTTTTTTTAACGTCTATTTTTGAGAGACAAAGAGCACAAGCGGGGAAGGGGCAGAGAGAGAGAGAGAGAGAGAGAGAGGGAGACACAGAATCCAAAGCAGGCTCTAGGCTCTGAGCATCAGCACAGAACCTACACAGAGCTCGAACCCATGAACCGTGAGATCATGACCTGAGCCGAAGGTGGACACTCAACGGACGGAGCCACCCAGGCGCCCCTTTAATGTTTATTTTTGAGAGAGACAGAGACAGAGTACTAGTGGGGGAGGGGCAGAGAGAGAGGGAGACACAGAATCCAAAGCAGGCTCCAGGCTCTGAGCTGTCAGCACAGAGCCCAGTGTGGGGCTCAAACCCATGAACCATGAGATCATGACCTGAGCTGAAGTTAGACGCCTAATTGACTGAGCCACCCAGGAGCCCTGGTATTGTCTTTTTTAAAAATTATTTCCATAAATGTAATTTTATATACTGATAAGAGTAAGTTTTTAATTGAGATTTTTGAGGTTAAAAGTGTATGATTTCAGAATCATCTAATATTCAAAATATTATGAGGGTATAGGGTACATTAAGAAAAGCAAATTTGGAATAAATCTAGAGTTTGTAAGGGTGGAGATTTCAAATGGAAATCAGGAGGAGCCTGTTCTTAAGTTGTGTGAATTCTGTGTTGGTTGCTTGAGAGAGATGGCCCAGGGCTTGCTTTCTCTCTCAGCTAAAATGTTGGAGCTTGGAATGTTGGGTGCTTATTTTCTTGTTCAGATACTCTGACCCTCCCTCTCTCAGCCAGCACTCAGGCAAAATGTAGAACAGGTGGGGCCAGAGTAAATGGGAATTTCAGTTAGTCCTTCAATGCTAGCTGTTTTTGAACTGACAGGCTTCCTCCCATTCTAAAACTGACCAGGACTGAAGCAGTAAATTCATCCACCATCAAGCGCTGCCAGCATCCTGAAGTGAGGATGACAGTATCTGTTTCCTTAAACTCACACTTGGCTTTGTTTTTCCAGGTCTATAAAGGAGAATTTCAGCTACCTGAATTTCTTAAAGAAAAACCTCAGGTACTGTATCTGCTTCCTCTTCTTAATGTGATAGATGAGCTCTTGTGTTGAAGTGATCTTTTTAAAGAGTGCTGTGCTGGTCATAAAAAGATTGGCCTCTGATAATTGTTGGTTTTAACAGTCTTACTTTTTAACACAGTCTTACTTTCAGATAGCTCAGTGTCTTCCAAAATTAAGGAAATGCTTTATTGATAACTAAAATCCAAATGCTTGAGGTCACTTACAAGCTATATAGTATTCCACATATAAGGAGCCTGCCTTGGTGAATCTGCTCCAGCCTTCTGATATCTAACTTGAAATAAAAATCTACTCTGTTCTTATATACATCCATGCCTTTTAACTTGTCTTATTGAAGATTTGTGAATTTGTTATATATACATCCATCAGCCCTCAACTACAAAGCCCCCAAGTTGGGAAAGGATGGTGAGAATTTGAAGATTCTAACTTTTCCTTTTTAAAAGATTAATAAAACAGATCCAGAGTTATCCTTGTAATGTCATGCCCTCACCTACTTGGGTTTCAGTATCATGTCTTGAGTTGAAGAGAAACAGGCATGGTTGCAGCTGACACAATGTACCTGAAGTAACCCAGAGTATCCTGCATCTGAACATCATCTGCCTTCCTATATCGTGGTGGGGGAAAAATTGTTGACTCCCTCATGAGCCCAGCAGAAGACTTCCCTTTCTAGCCTAGTGATAATATGTGTTGCCTCCAGGCTTCTGCTCTCAGTAATTAGCTTGGAATTAGGAAATGAAGACTCAGCACTGAACTTAGTTTCTAATATCTTTCCAGATATGGGTTGATGAGGGAAACCTACCACCTCACAGACTGTGAAGTCATGTCGCCCAGAGCAAGCCTGGAGTGAATGGGCTTGGGCTCTCTAAGAAAGCTGTCTTAGACAAGAAATAAATCCTCGTCTAATAACAGTCAGCCATGAATAGTTGATACCTTTTACTTGAGAATTTCAAACTACTTTCAAGGCATGTTCTTATTAGCATCTATTTAGTTTTAATCCACCCATGCATTCATTTTATTTATTCAACAGATGTTTACTAAATTTCTGTTATGGGGAGAAGTTGGAAAAGTCCTCAAGAGTCAGAGGAAAAAAAAAGTTTTTCTCAAGGAACTTCTGATCTCCCCAAAAGACTGTGACCAACTTTTGCAGACAAGGGAGAACAGGGCCCTGAGCCTGGGCTGGGCATGATGTCCCAGAAACCTGGATGGATTCATGAATAGGTCATCACTCACTTGCAGGCTGTGGCATTTAGAGCCAGAGAATAATCCAAGAGGCAAGTCTTAAAAGAATGTCAAATCCAAAGACTGTTTTGCATAAAAAGTTTGAAGGAGTCAAGAAAGGGAATTTGAGGTTGAAAGGGATACCTCTGCTTCACAGCATACTCAAAAATCATTTCCAGACAGATTATAGACCTATATGTGAAAGGCCAAAAGTAAAGTTTTAGGAGACAATAAAGGAGAACATCTTCATGACCTTAAGAGGGAAGGATTTCTTAAATCATAGAAAACACTAATCATTAATTTTAAAATGGATAACTTGGACTCCATTAAAATTGATCATATTTACTTATTATTAAAAAGCATCATAAAAAGAGCAAAAAAGTATGCCTTAAGTGGGATAAAATAATTGAAGCAAAGGACTCCTCTGTAGAATATGGAGGGTTCCTACAAATCAGTTGAAAAAAAAAAACTGCACAAAAGGCTTACAGGCATTTCACGCACCTTTTTCTGGTTAGTTTAATGCATCACACACACATACTTAGAAAAAGGGCTGTAAAAGACTTTGACTTAACTAATCATAAATGAGAAAACTGAAACCCACAGAACCCTCAGGTTTGCTATTCAGCTAAAAAGGCTCACAGAACTCTGCAAAGCACTGTATTTGCAAATATAGTTTGATTTTAAAGGATACAAATCAGGATCAGCCAAATGAAGAGACATGTAAGACAAGACCTGGGAGGGTCTCAAACACAGAGCTCCGCCCATTCGCCGTGGAGTCTGGGTACTTCTCCTTCCCAACAGCATGTACATGTGTTCACCAAACAGGAAGCTCCACTGGTCTTTAGCATCCAGAGTTTTTATTGATATCTCATTACATAGATGTGGTTGATTGAATCATTGGTCATGTGATTGAATTCAATCCCAGTCAATGTCCGCTACCCAGAGGTTGGGCTGGCTCAGAGTCCCAGCTCTCTGGTGAAAGGTTTGGTCTTTCTGTGACCAGCTTCCATCCTGAGTTATGTCGTCTCTTAGCATAACTCAAGTATGATCCAAGGAGCTCCTGAATTAACAAAGACATTCCTGTTACCTGGGAAAATCCAAGAATTTAGCCTCCCTACCAGCAACCAGGGACAAAGGCCAGTCAAATTCTTTATTATACAACAGTTGCAGACTAAGTTCATCTGCAGAAAATCTGTGATCAGAGCCTGCAAACTACACCTGATATTTCAATGGGAGCAGTCACTTTTCATGCTGACCAACTTCAAGGACTTTAAAACATCTTTTGCTTCCTTTGACAGACTGAGGAAGTGGAGTAGCAGAGCCAGGAACCTCTTACATATATGAGGTGAGGGTTGGGGGACATTCCTGGGTCTTTGGGTTTCCCTGCTTAAGCTCTCTTAGGAGGAGGTGTGGCTGGGGTGGGTGGAGAGCACAGCTCTGGAGTCAGTCGGCCTGGGTTGGAATCTTGGTTCTGTGGCATTGAGCAAATTGCTTCTCTGTGTCTTACCTTCCTCATCTGTAAAATGAGGACGAATAAATAAGATTATTAATACATAAGAGAGTAGTAGTAAGAATTAACCACAATAATGTCTACAAAAAGCTTGGCACCTAGTAAGCGCTCAAATAGTGTTAGCCGTTATTTTTAATAAAAGGAGGGGTTTAAGATGATAAAAATAACATTTTCTTTTAATATGAAAGGGATCTGGAGACCATTAACCCCAATCACCTATTTGCAGATAAGGAAACTGATCCTAGAGAGAGAGCAGGTTGTTTGTCAAAGTCACATCACAGGAAGGTGAAAGCCAAGGCTTCTTCCACCACCCTGTGGTGCTTTCATTTGGAACGTGAAAAACTTTTTTGAAAATGTGATTTTTTTCTTACAGTCTTACTTGTTGTTTTATTTTTATTTATATAATCACAGTGGATTGAGTGCATACTCTATACCAGGCATAAAGTATCGAGCATTTTATATATGTAATATAGAAATGACATATTATATGACATATACTATATAATTTATATAATATGATGCATTCTTTCAGGTTTCAAACCACTCTGGCAAGTAGGTGGTATTATTCCTGTTGTACTGATGACATAATTGAGATTGAATAATTTGAATAAGAGATTTTTATGACTTGCCAGGTGTTAGTGGATAATAGACAAAAAGCACATGAACACTGCTAAGCCATGTCAAAATCATGGATGGCAGCGAGCTAGTAATATTAATGAGTTTCAGGATTTATGAATGCCTTTTTGCTAAGGAGCAAATGCTAAATGTTAGACATATACTCTATGGACTTGTATAACTGCAGTTATCAAGCCTTGGATAATTTTGTTGATCCAAGATACTTTAAAATCTATAAATTCCCTCCCTGAAATACACACACAGGGATTCGTTTATTGACCAGCTGTTTTACAAGACAGAATACAATGTCTGTTGACTTCAGCCTTCGAGTTGCCTCCACAGCATCATTTCATCCTTGCATTGCTCAGTGTGGCCTGTAGGTGCCCATATACAATGAGAGAAGGACTCAGAAGAAGCGAGGAAGACAAAGCATCTCAGAACAGACGATAGTCTTTCTTCTTGTCTTTTGAAACCTTTTGGCATTTGAATATGACAGTCACCGTGTTCTCTAAATCTTCCTTTAAAGAACGTTGGTCTCCACTTTTTTAAAACAAAGAGCCAGCATGTTGGACCCCTGAACATGCATCCCTACCAGTGCCCCCGCAGTAGCTTCAACTGCAGATGACAGTTGCAGTCACTTAGAAATGGGCAGGAGCAGCCCTTGCTTTGGCTGCCGTCTGCTTGTTTCGCGTACCCAAGCTACTGGCAGGCATCTAAAAGCATCGCAGACTGAGGGAGAGTGTGCCTCTTTGGTCGTCCTTCTGAGGCAGCTGTTCTTGTAGTTATCTGTCCTCCTCCCTGTCTACCTGGCTTACACCAGGACCACAACTGGGAAGGAGGCAGTATGGTGCAGGGGAGACAAAGCGTGACTCCACACCTATAACCAGATTCTGTTTGTTTGCCCTAGGGGAGACTGCTGCCTTTTCAACAGAAGGGAATTTTCTAGGACTGGCCGTCCCCTGCTGAGATCAGTGGAGCGTATGTACCATGGCCCACATCTCCTGTTCACTTGCCAGGCTGTCCCCACTGAGAGGGTGGGAAGTCGGTATACATTTGGGCCTTCCTGAGTGATCTGCTCCCTGAGTCCAGTGCTCTTGATCCTAATTACGTGCACAACCCTGTGGATATGAAGTCCAGAGGGAACGTGTGCTTTCTGTTAAAACTGCTCTGGTCCTCGTCTTTTCTTACCGGATTCCAAACTTTTGTTTCAAGGGGAGGGTTTTAAAATGGGATTCTATAAGCAAAAATTGGGCAGTTTCATCTTGGAATAGGTTGTCTGTACATGTTCTAATGTTTTGTAGAACACTTCCTGTTTAAATGTATTGATGTGGATAATATTAAATATCTTAATTATTTAAATAATTCATTGTATTGTTTTTGAGAAGTTGAGGAATTACCGTATACATTTACAACTTAATGACTTTTGTATTTTATTTTTCAAAATAAAAGCTTTAAATGTGTGAAGCATTTTGGTGGTTTACATGTTTTCATTACTGTGATTTCAGAGAAGCAGGAAGCCCTTATCAGAGAAGCCAACGTTTCTTCAGTTGGCTGTATTGTAGATAATCCCTCCTATGCATCAAAACTTTTTTCAATGAAGTTTTTAATTTTAATTCCAGTAGAGTTAACATACAGTGTTATATTAGTTTCAGGTGTATAATACAGTGATTTGACAATTCTGTATGTTACTCAGTGCTCATTAGTGTATTCTTACCTATTTCACCTATTCTTACCTATTCTTACCTATTCTTACCTATTTCACCCATCCCCCCATCCACATCCCCTTTGGTAACCATCAGTTTGTTGTCTATAGTTAGGAGTCTGTTTCTCGGTTTGTCTCTCTCTCTCTCTTTTTTTCCTTTGCTTATTTGTTTCTTAAATTCCACATATGAGTGAAATCACATGGTATTTGTCTTTTTATGACTCAGTTACTCTCCAGCTCCATCCTTGTTGTTGCAAATGGCAGATCATTCTTTTATATTTCTGAAAAATATTCCAGTGTGTGTGTGTGTGTGTACCTGTGTGTGTATATGGATACCACATCTCTATCCATTCATTAATTGATGAACACTTGGGCTGTTTCCATAATTTGGCTGTAGTAAGTAATGCTGCAATAAATTCTGCAGAGGCTGCAATAGTTTGCATTCTTACCAACAGTGCAAGAGGGTTCCCCTTTCTCCACATCCTCGCCAACACCTGTTGTTTCTTGTGTTCTTAGTGTTAGCCATTCTGACAGATAGATGTGAGGTGAAATCTCATTACAGTTTTGATTCGCATTTCCCTGATAATGAGTGATATTGACCATCTTTTCATGTATCTGTTGGCCATCTGAATGTCTTCTTTGGAGAAATGTCTGTTCATGTCTTCTGCCCGTTTTTAATTGGATTATTTGTTTTTTGGGTGTTGAGTTGTATCAGTTCTTTATATATTTTGGATACTACCTTTATCAGACATGTCATTTGCAAATGTCTTCTCCCATTCAGTAGGTTGTCTTTTAGTTTTGTTGATCGTTTCCTTCACTGTGCAGATGCTTTTTATTTTGATGAAGCCCCAATAGTTTATTTTTGCTTTTATTTTCCTTACCTCAGGAGACATATGTAGAAAAATGTTGCTATGACTCATGTCAGAGAAATCACTGCCTGTGTTCTCGTCTAGGAGTTTTATGGTTTCAGGTCTCACATTTAGGTCTTTAAAGCAGTTTGGGTTTATTTTTGTGTATGGTGTGAGGTGACCCAGTTTCATTCTTTTGCATGTGGCTGTCCAGTTTTCCCATCACCATTTGTTGAACGAGACTTTTTCCTATTGCATATTCTTTCTTCCTTTGTTGAAGATTAATTGACATGTATCATAACATCTTTTTTTATTAAAAAAATTTTTTTTAATATTTATTTATTTTTGAGAGTGAGACAGACTATGAGCAGGGGAGGAGCAGAGAGGGAGACACAGAATCCGAAGCAGGCTCCAGGCCCTGAGCTGTCAGCACAGAGCCCGATGCAGGGCTCGAACTCACGAACCATGAGATCATGACCTGAGCCGAAGTCAGATGCTGAACTGACTGAGCCACCCAGGTGCCCCGACATGTATCATAACGTCTTAATGAAGATTTTGCTGTAATTGATTTCATAAAGACCTGCTATCATTTGTCCTAGAGTCCTGTTCTATTTCTATGCCTATATGCTGTATTTAAGGACAGAGAAGTTACTGTTACCAGCTGTTTTCTAGAAGCCAGTGTTATACAATACAGAATGACCAGATAATAATAGTAATCTCTATTTATTGAGTGTCTTCTATGTGTGAGGCACTGAACAAGGTGTTTTATGTGTTTTCTTATCCCTCGCCTGAAAATCTGCATCCTCTGGTCTTATCCATCAGTAAATAATATTTTCTACCTAGTCACTCAAGCCAGAGACCTAAGAGTCTTTTCCTTCCTTTTGTCCCCCCACATATAAGATCTTTGATTCTACCTTCAGAATATTTCTTGAATCCATCTACTTTCCTTCAGCTCCACTGCTCCCATCCTAATGTAAGACAGCACCACCTGTCACTTAGACTGTTGCAATAGAGAGCCTCCTAAACAATATCCCCATTCCTACGTTGCCCCCCTCAAATGCTGTTTAGCACATGGCAGAGTAATGATTTGGCAATATACATATAGATAGGACCCTCCCCACTTACCCTCTCATTTAGAATAGAACCCAAGTTCTTGCCATGATCCAGCCACTGCCCCTCTCCATCTCATTGCAGGCCATCCCCCCACCTCACCTACCTCGCTCCTTGTTCTCTAGGGTTCTTTGGATCTCACAGAAGCACACCAAGCTTTTCCTGCCTCTGCACATATTATTCCTCTCTCTGGAATATTCTTCCCTTTGCTCTATGCCAGAATGCCTCCTTCTCAGTTCTGTGATCTCAGTAAATTCTATTTCCTCAGAGAGACTTTTCCTGGACCCTTGAACTAAAAAGTAGATGCCCTTCTTGACTCTCTTCTTTTTAGTATCACCTTATCAGACTTTGCAGTTTTTAGTCTGTTGACTGTTTTTTAAATTATTATTGTCAGTCTCATATACTAGATGGTAAATTCCTGGAAGACAAAGACTATGTCTTTTCTTGTCCATTTTTGTATTTCTGACATCTAGCAAATTGCCTGGCACATTCCAGGAGCCCAGGAAAATATTCGGTAAATGATTAATTCTCTCAGAAACCTCTGACATATCATTTTACAGATGAGAAAACAGGCTCAGCCAGGTGGTGTCCCCTAGACAAGGCCCCTTAGTGCCACAGCGGTGGCCTGGCACCTCGGCCCAAGCCTGGCCTGAACATCCTTCTCTCCAGTCCACTCCCCTCAGACCTGTCCCCTTCAACTGAAAATGAATACTGCTGCTTGGGGCACCTAGGTGGCTCAGTCAGTCGAGCGTCGGACTCTGGCTCAGGTCATGATCTCATGGTCCGTGGGTTCAAGCCCTGCATCGGACTCTGTGCTGACAGCTCAGAGCCTGGAGCCTGCTTAGGATTCTGTGTCTCCCTCTCTGTCTGCCCTCCCCCGCTTCACAGTCCTCCCCCCCCCCCCCGCTGGAAAATAAATAAACATTAAAAAATTAAAAGAACAAGACAATAAATACTGCTGCCATATCAATCCTTTGTTCGGCAGTGTGCCTTCAAGCACTCCTTTGTTCAAAAGCCTTCTTTGATTCTCTAATGCTTAACACGTTACATCTAAACTGTTCTGCCTCCACTGTGTGGCCTCACTACTTTCTTGCGTACAGTTCGCCTCCTGCCTGTCTCTGTCTCCTTACACTTCTTCACTTTCTGCTTCTCCCAGATGCCTGTAAACCCTCTCCCCTCTCCCTGGAAAATCCCAGCCTCATTAAGGGCTCAGCTGTCTTCAGTGCCATTTCTTATTACTCAACTGCTCCAACCTCCAAATAGTAACAAAGTCAACCTCAGCTTAACATAATATTTTTTTTGTTTTTTGCTTATTTCCTGTGTTAGTCTTATGTCATTACCTTTGTAGGGAGGAGGCCACATACTCCTCTAGAGCCTATCAGAATGGGAGAGGAGGACATTTTTCAACTCTAACCCAGCCTGACTCCAGTGCTTGCCCCAAAGGAGATGTGATTTTTATTCCCCACACCTGCCCTCCCCTGGAGACTCCCTTGTTACAAGCAGGAGTGTATTGGAAAAGGAAAAGGGCAGAGAACCGCCGCACAAAATCACTGACTCAGGAAAGAGGCAACCACGGCACACTGGCCTGAAGAAACAGATGCTGTGCTGTTTCCATCCCTATTGACGTTCCTTCTTCCACAAAGCTTGCTTTCTTTCTGGCCCGAGCACATTTCTTTTGAGCCCTGTGAGGAAAAGCATTTCTGTTTCTTAGATCACATCTATGAAGATGACTTTGTGAAATGTTGTGATTTGGTGACATCAAACGGAACTCCTGTCGAACGAATGAAAGCTGGCTGGAGTAAAATTTGAAAGGAGGTAACAGTAAGGGACCAGGTAGACGTGTGGCCTATGACTGTCAGAGAGCTTCCTGGAGGAAGCAGAGCCATTGGCCACAGACAGCAAGTGAACCCGCAAAGCCAGAGAGAGGCTAGTGTCCTCAGTGGCCACGGGAGGAGCTTGGAGAGAGCATCAGCCGTGGAGAATCATAGAATTTAAAAAAGAGGGGAAGAAAACCTTAGTAATCACTTAAGCAATCAGTCTAGTAATACTTATCAAGAGCTTGGTGTGGTCCAGGCCCCATGCTAGCCATTTTACATGTTTAAACTTCTTTAATTTTCATAATTACCATCTGAGTTACTACCTACATTTTACAAACATTGGCTCGGGGTGGGGGGGGGGGGTAAAAGTACCTAGTACAGCTAGTGACAGGATACAAACATAGACAACCTGGCTCCAGAGTCTACACCCCAACCACTACTCTGCATCTCAATAATCATCTTTATACTAGAATAGAAACTTGCCATTAACATTGAGTTGCAACTGTTTTAAGGACCTCCCTTGTACTTAGTAATTTGCTAGGTATAATTGGGTAGTGTGCCAGGAAGTATAGGCAGATTACTGCCCTTGGGAATTTATGGTCTTGGTAAAAATCAAGAAAACTGCAAATAAAACAATTATTTCAGGTTCTAACAAAATATATACAGTATCGCCTACCAAAACCTGGCTATATGATAGGTAAGTATTGGTCTAGGAAAGACTCCACTCAGTGTTACCCCCAGATTTGTATTTCGAAAGGAACTATAGATCCTGGGGCTGTCTGGGCTTTTCTCTGGCAAGGTCAGTATTTTCAGCATTGAGTTCCCTTTCCTGCTTATTTGTCAGTCTCCACTGCAGTCTTCTGCAGGGACTTTAGGTCTTTGTGTAAAGCAGAGCACTCCTTCCTTAATTATTCTGAATTGGGCAAAAGAGGTAATTTTATTCATTTTAGGTTTAAATCCTAACAAAGCAGTTCATTGTTCGAATATTGGGTGGGTGTGTATCTGAGAGACAAAGTAGTTTTGTTAGAGATAAAAATAAATGACTTTGATTCTTCCTTTGGGGTTGGTTATTTCCAAAGATCCAAAATTGAATCATTTTCACAATAAAACCACTATTTTTGTTCTTCCATATTGTAGAAATGGCTTTTAAGGCCTTACCCTGAGAAAGCCTAAAATGCCCTCTGTTGGCCAAACATGGAATGACTGCTGAACGTTCAAAAAAGTTTTCAAGTTGAAAAAAAAATAAGGAAAATGTGTATCATGCATGTGTGCTTTGCGTGTGTGTGAAGCTTTCTCTACAAAACTGCTCATTGCAATATAGTTTGTGAAAACAAAAAAGTTGAAGCAATCTAGCAAAAGGGGTATGGGCTAAATGAATTATGGTACATCCACAAAATAGAACTCAGCTAATATATATGGTGTTGTAGAAAAAGACTTAACACAGAAAAATGTTCATGTTACATGAAGTGAAAACTTGATATCACAAAGCTGTTTATTATGATCCCATCTTTATCATCTAAAGGACGTATAGGAAACTAAATAGAATAGCTAAGCCGATAGACATCTGAAAGGACGTGTGCCAAAACGTTCAGTGTTCTCAGTTCGCAGTTCTCTCTTGGTGGTGGAAGTGGGGATTCTTGTTTTCTTCTTTCTTCTTAACTCTCTTTTCTAAACACAATCAATAGGAATTATTTTTGTAAAATAAGAAACAATAGTGAGTTATTTTATTTATTACTACGTTCTTGGATATTATTAGCTTCTTATAAAAGAGACATGGAGAACATTTACAGGAAAGATTTCAGAACCTCAGTGGAATGGGCAGCTTCATGTGATGCCATGTCACTAGCGATTTATTTATTTTAGTCTACATACTTTCCAAGAAGGTCACCATCTCTAAATAAGAAATCATCCTTGTGGTCCAGAACTAGTTTGGTGCTTCCATATTCTGGGAGAAGAACTTTATCTCCAACTTTCGGGCTAACTAGTTGAATCTCTCCACCCTTCCCTGTAGAGCCTGATCCAACAGCTACTACTGTTGCCTGCAGTGCTTTTCCTTGAGATTTTTCTGGAAGCATAATGCCTCCTTTTGGTTACAGTTTTGGCTGCACTCCTTGCAACTAAAACTCAAGGAGGGGAAGAAACTTTCTAAATGCCTGTCCTGCGGTGACTCTAGCTGCCGCACCTCCCACTCTGCTCTCATGCCACTGCCATCACAAGGGGACCCCCCCAAAACACTTTTTTAAAAGAAATCAAGAGATGGAACCCCGTAATCCTACAGTTAAAAAAACTGGGATCTCGAGTAGCGAGATGTAAGTGGTGACTTACCCAAAGCTACACATCTGGTTACACTTAACATTGACTTTCAGTTTCTCTTCTAGTGAGTCTCATTATTTATCCAGTTCTTCTGATGAAAAGTTAGTAATCTTGATACTCTGACACTTGGCTATCGATTGTTCTTCACAAATGAATCATTGAGACTTGAATCAGAAATGAAGCAGAAATGAGCTATTAGGACATTTATATGGAGCACATTTGAAAAGATCACAATGCAGTTAGGATGGATTTATTTCTCTTATACAGGGTTTGGCAAACTACACCCAGCGAGCCAAATCTGGCGACACCTACCGTATATGTCTTACCTATGGCTGCTTGCTCTCTACAGCTGCAGGTAGAGTAGAGACAAACTATATGGCCTGCTAAGCTGAAAATGGTTCCTACCTGTCCCTTTACAGAGAAGTGTGCAAACCCCTGCTCTTACAGATAATTTAAATCCTATCCTGCCTCCAGATATTTAACTATTTCACTACACCTTAATGTCTCTAGCTAACCAAAAGGACTCTCAGCTGGCAATTCCAAACAAAGGTCAGAATAATCATCAGAGCTAGAAAGTCCCCAAATGGCAAGTTGTTTTTCCCTAATACCCTTTTCCTGCCTCCGAGAAACAACAGGCCCTTCCCAGCCTCAACCCCAACAAACTCTCTGAGCGGGTGGGGACGCCTAGGAGGACAAAGACTGTGGAATGGTGGTGGAGAGGCCCAAAGAGAAGGGCACATTAGGAAACGGTACATTTTCTTAGGGTGCAGGGGATTATATTTCCAGCTAAATTCTTTTTCCATTTGGTGGAATCATGTTGAGGTGACATATTCAAGCTGGGAAGTGCTTAAGCCTGAAATGATAGACTGATGAAAATGCCACACAGGGGCACCTGGTGGCTCAGTCGATTAAGCACTGGACTCTGATGTCAGCTCACGTCATGATCTCAAGGTTCATGAGATCAAGCCTTAAGACGGGCTCTGCCCTGACAGTGTGGATTCTCTGTCTCCCTCTCTCTCTCTCTGCCCCTCCCTCCTTTCTCTCTCTCTCTCTTTCTCAAAATAAATGAGCATTAAAAGAAGAAAGAAAGAAAGAAAGAAAATGCCACACAAACTGGGCATGAGGTGGGAGGGAGAATTGGGAATGTGGCTCCAATATACTCACCCACCCATGGGATTTGACCATAATGCTTCAGAAGTGACTGGAACCAGCCTCATCTAGAGACATAAGGGGTGAGAAAGTAATATGCAATAGTAGGTAGGACAACGATGGGCCCTCAAACCACATTCATAAAACACCGTGGAATTCTCATGTTATTTTTGTATCTGTTTCATATGTTATTTTTGTTTTATAATTAATAATTGAAAATATAAAACAAATTCACCAAAAGCCTACATGCAAGGAGCTTGAGGTGAGAGCATTTCAGGGCCCATGTCCTCTTGCAGTGAAGATGTCCATGGTTACCAGTATACACCCCAAACCAAAGAGCATTCCCTTAATGTTCACTCTGGATAAGACTCCTAGGCCTTCTCACAACATGAGGGGGAGCTCCTTCCCACTAGCCAAGAGTGATGGCATTCTGGAATTCTCTACCTCTTTGATATTAACAACAGCAATTCATGCCCCTGTGTACTACTAATACCAATAAAAGACAAGAGGAAGAAATATATGGAGAGGTAATAGTTTGAATGTGATCACAGCACAAATTCCTTTCAGCATTCATCTATTGAGTCCCTACTATGTGCCATGCATTGTACTGGACCTTGTAGATATTACAGGGAGTAGTAAGACACCAAAATGGACGCCCCCACCCTGCTTTTTGACTTCCAGGAAGGTAGATATTGGGAAGTCTGCTACAGCCACAGCAAAAAGGAAAAGTTTTAATGCTTCCACATTCAAGCTTGCCTCCCAAAAGAGCAAGAATCATGGCTTCTGACTCAGTGTTCACTTTTCCTCCTCCAAACCTCAAGTGCTTTGATCTGCTTGGTGAAAGTAAGGTCGCTCGTGGAATCCAGGATACAAAGTACTCTGGGGAAAGTAGCTTTTAGATTTTAAGCTTCTAGCATTCAGTGAGCCACACTTAAGAGGGATCAGAAAAGAGGTGAGAAAGACAATCTAAACATCAGTCACATTTACCAAAGCGGATGATAGGAAGAGAAGTCCAGGCTAAGAAATAGCAGTGGTTAATCAACAGGGTACACCAGAGGCTTGGGGAGAGCTGACCTGGGGTGAGAGCAAGTGGGCCATGAGCCAAGCTTTTGTGCCATGGGAAGCTGTTGGCAAACAACCTCCTCCTCAAGGCCAGGAGAGCAAGGGAAGGCCAACCATCTAACTTCATCCTGTCAGTCATGATGTTTCTCCCTTTGTGCCAGTGGATAAGAAACAAGGAGTTGTGGGGCACCTGGATGACATGGTTGGTTGAGTGTCTGACTCTTGGTTTCAGTTCAGGTCATGATCTC